GCTGGGGACATCTAAGCAGACACGCCCTTCCAGAACAGAGCTGACGGTGCTTTGCAGGCGGTAAGTGCAGAGGATCTGGGTGAGGCTTTTGAAGTCACTGACCCCGTGCAGTCCACGCCCACGTGGCTCAGTCCTGCCACGAGACGCCCCCCAGCGCGCCCAGGCTGGAGAGCGCACCTAGGAACCCACTGTGTTGTGCTCCATGGCACTGCAGGATGGCTATCGCTAACAATAACGTAAGGTTTCCAGTAGCTAGAGGGAGGACAGTGAATGTCCCCAACACACAGACATGAAGCAGGTTTGAGATGATGGACATGCTAATCGCCCTAATCTGATCATTACGCTAAACCTATTCTAAGGTCGCCACCTACCCTGTGAGTATGCACAAGAACTATTTGTCAATTAAAAATAAATTAAATATACACATAAGTAGTAGACACCTTGGAAACCTATCTGAATCTATTAAATATTTGCAATAAAACACAATCCACTATAATTGGAAACATCTTTGCCTGCAAAAACACTTTTATCCGGTAATTGATAATGCTGAACATGAGATTTTATTTTTGCATGGGGTCCGACAATATGTAGTATATGATTGTGGGAGGAAGAACTGGGTAAAGAAATCAATAATATTTTATCGTTGAAAAGAATGCATGAGTATGCACTATTACTATTTGTCAATTTAAAAATAAATTAACTAAATATAAATAGTAGACACCCCAAAACTTTTTGAATCTATTACACATTTGCAATAAAAAGAATGCAGTATGATTGGAAACATCGCTTTCTAAGAAAAAACCTCTTTTTTCCATCGTTGAAAGTACTTAACCTAAGATTTTATTTTTGCATGGGGTCAAAAAGAACATAGTATACACTCGAGGGTGGAGGAATTGGGTAGAGAAATAAGCTACAGGTAGTTTTTTCTTTTAAAAGGGTATGTGACTTTTTAAAACGTAAACTTAATTGACAAATAACAATTGTACATATTTATGGAGTACATTGTGATGCTTTGATAGATGTATATGTTGTGGAATTGTGAGGTCAATCAGTTTCACATATCCATTATTGACATAATTGTCACTTTTTTGTCAAGAACATTTGAAATTCACTCTCTTATTAATTGTGTATGTTTATAGTATGCCTTATTACGAACTACGGTCATCATCTGGTGCCACAGATCTTAAAAAATTATTCCTCTTTTCTCACTGTGCATGAATTTTTAAGATAAACACAGGGGAGGTAAAAGGATTAATGCAAGAAAAGACGTTTCGGGGAAGAAGTTTTAGCAGTTCTGCTTCATAAAAGTGGTAATTTAACCTGTTTCAGTTTTCTGGACGATATGAGCCTTTGGATTTTTTGAAAGCAAGTGAATTTCTTATTGATGGCAAAACAAACAAACAAACAAAAACCCATGATGTTTTCAGAGAAAGAGAGAACACAGCAATTGACCCAGAACAGGACATTTACCTGAGAACATTCCTATCTCCTCATCCTTCTCTTGCTCTTCCTCATTCCCAGAGCGTCTTCCTCAGATGAGATTATCTTGGAAAATCCCATGTGAATTTTGAGAATACGCCTTTTAACTTCATATTCCTTTCCCCACACCACCACTGCACCCACGGGCAGAAGGACCTTGAAATGTAGAAAGGGCGACCTCTCCCTCTGTCCTTTGTCACAGGAGAGGTTCGGGAAGCCTATGGGTGAGAAACCCACCCGAATAGGACAGAGAGACCCACACCCTGATATCTCTGTGAGAATTCTTGGGAACACTCCTTTATCAGGCCCTTCCTTGCATTGCTATAGAGAAATACCTGAGGCTGGGTCATATATAAAGAAAAGAGAATAAGCTCATGGTTCTGGAGGCTGTATGGGAAATATTGCAGCATCTTAGTCTAGGGAGGCCTCAGGGAGCTTTTACTCAAGGCAGAAGGCAAAGAGGGATTAGGCATTTCACATGGCAAAAGCAGGGACAAGAGAGTGGGGAGGCAGGTGCTGGACACTGTTAAATGCCCAGATCTCATGAGAACTCACTCACTCTGGAAAGGACACAACCACAGGGGAGGAGGCTAAACCATTCATGAGAAAAGCGCCCCCATGATCCAATCATCTCCCACCAGGCCCCAGGTCAAACACTGGGGATGACAGTTCCATAGGAGATTTGGGCGGGGACACACATCCAAACTATATCAACTCCCATCTCATCTCTGCAGAGAGGCGAGTCTACACTCCATCCCCAAGCCCCAAGTGCTGCCCAGACTTCAGGATGTTTAAATCCTGGTGAGTTGCTGAGCTCCCGTCCACACCCTGGAGCCGTGCTTGCCTTCCTGCTCCCATCAGAGATTAAAAGCAAGAGCCACTGACTCTTTCCAGGAGCTGTCCCTGGAACTGACACTTGGCTTCTTGCAGTTCTCCCCATCTGAGGTGGGCTTTTAAAAATTCCTGGGATACATGGAGAGTTTGGGTGACCCACCCCCTACAGCCACACTACATACTCTAGTCCATTCCCGGACTCACAGTGAGCCAGGCTGTTCTTAGACCTCACTTATCTTTGGCCCCACAAAGGCCAGAATCTCCAGTCCTGGTTTCCACAGAGCTCCCTGCCATGGGAGACTGAGCTGCCCATCCCCTTTAGAGACATAGAATGAGACAGCCTGGGCTTATGTATGAACATTTTAAACATGCAGAAAATAGTGTATGTTGTTCAAAATATATGGTTCTCGGTTAAAATTTAAAATGATGGGAAGAGCAAACAGCAAATTACGTTATTTGTTTTGGATGTACACGTGTGATAAAATGAAAGTGCTAGGAACAGAATAACTAAGAAATGGAGAAAGAGGGAGAGGTAATTAGATGAGATGTGATTACGTCACGATTAGGTTAGCCGGGGGGAGTGGCTGCGGGGCTCTGGGGCAGTATAAATGCCAGCAGGAAAACGGATCTTCCCCTCAGTGGTCTTTGCTCCCTTCATCGTGGAAGCCCCACTGTGAGGAGTAGAGTTCGCCGAGGGTCCACTTACCCGAGTGGCTGCTGGAGGGAAGGAAGACAACAGGTTGTCCATTACTACTTTGGGCCTTGGTTTATTCCAACAGGAGAAATAGAAGAGTGAGAAACCTCTGTAGTGGGTGGTTTTAGATGTTGAGGTAAAGATTACTTAATTGCTTAACAGTATTTCTTAAGATGGAGCCTGATTCAAAAAAATGTTTCAGAAATTGTAATGATCGAAAAAATATGTATTAAAAAAACAAAAAGAAGAGAAACAAAAAACAAAATAAAAAAATTAAAAACAAAATTTTAGTAATCATATGAAGGTCAACGATTGCAAGGAATGCTCACCCAGCACCCTGAATTGTGTGGGTGCCGGATGAGCAGTTATGGAGACCTGGTGCCTTTGATGGAGGGCTTTTAAATAAGAGATTTCTTCACTTATCTTTTATATCAGTATACTCATTGGCCTTTGCTAGGAGCTGGTAAAAATTCAGGGCCCTGAGCCTCTGCCCATAGAGTAAGCCAAGCAAGACTTAAGCTGCGAGCACCCAATCTATAATGGTGGAATAAACAATGGTTCTACTTAAATATGTAGTTAAAAATGTTTCTTTACCTCTCAATTTTGGTGATTTGGATTTTGAAGAGGAAAGCACATTTTATTCTAGATTTTCTAATGTGTTTGCCCCCAATGTAGCATTCCCTGATCACTTTTTTTTTTTTTTGTATTTTCATGGCAGTATTGTCTTCTTTTTTTCCTAATATGATCTATGAAGATGAATTTTATTATCTTTCTGTGGTAACCCGTGGTAATGTATCCTACTACTGCTTTCAAATAAAGAGCACGTTTTCCTGTCGTATTCCATTTATTTTTTCATCTGCTCCAACTTACTGTTTGATTGACCATTTCCATCTTTTTCGTTTTTGTAATGTCATGTTGTTCTGTCTCTATAGACCTAAGCACTTCCCCCAAATTTTATCTTTTTTCAATCATGTTGTGGCAAAAAAAAAAAAAAAAAAAAAAAAAAAAGGCCCGATTGAGACCCCAGGAGAAGGTTCTTTGTTCTCACACAGGAAGAAATTCCTTGCGAGTTGCAGAGAACAGTGAGACGAGAGAGTTTACTGAAAGCTACTACATTACAGAGTAGGGCGACCTCAGAATGTGACCGGAAAATGCACCGTCTTTTTTTTTTAAGTTGTTCTGATATAGAGGTCTTTTCCATGTGAAGATTTCACTAAGCCGTGTCTACATGCGGTGGGCTGACAGCATGACAACATTTAGTATTCTGTTGATTTAAAGAAAACCCTGCTTGACATTGTAGTGTGTAAGTCAGGAAAGCATAGCTATCATTATCGTGAAGGCATCTAACTTTGAATATGGGGCATCTGGACATTTTGCTTTCATAGGAGTCTGTCTTGCAAGCATTGCTATGCTGCTTCCTCAGCCGCAAACGTCTTAGGACCTGGGTGGTGACTGGCCAGGACTGTGCCTTGCTAGTTTTCAGATGGAGTTGATTTATAAATGGTGTCGCCGTCACTCTCCTCTGCTTCTGTTGCTCTAGCACTGTGGTCATTTAGACAAAGACATTTCCCCTGAACCCAAGTTTTCTACTGCTCATCAGTTTGGACATGAAAGGGATTTATCTGTATTTTCTTTGCACTTTCTGATTTCCACTTGAATATCTTATTTGATCTTAAGGACTTTGATTGCAGAAATTTCAGACAATGTGCTTCATAGTTTAAAACATCCTTATCATTTATAAAATGTAGGTATATCTAATTTTGACAAACAGGGACTACAGATTGATAAGATATCCAGTTTTCTAATATATTAAATTTTCTTTGAGTCCAATTCCATGATCAGTTTTTTCCAGATGTTTGATGGTATACCATGAGGGTCCCTAGAGGAGGCACCTGTGTTGCATACATATCAAACATGCTAAGTCCAGCGAACAATTCTTTTAATAGATCACCTGCTTTTCTCATTCATATTGGTGTCACGTCACTGACAGAGGAAGGTTGCATCCGTGTAGTTTGAATGACAGAAGGTGTGAGTTTACTCCTAGGGACACGGTGGGCACAGCAGAGAGATGGGGCTGACTGCATCCTGCCCCTGGGAGATTCCAGGGGTAGGAAAGAATCAGCGTCTTGTTTTCTTCCCTCCACAGGGAAACAGAATCCCTCGGGCAGGACCAGCAGTGATGGACCCCAACACTCTCTCCATGGAACGGGGGAAGCAGTTCTTAAAGCAGTGTGGGATCCCACAAAGAGATGTGAGTGCGGGAGCTGCGGGGTCACCTGGGAGGCAGGTGGAATGCGGGGAGTCCAAGCCTAGGGGGACGGCTGAAGCAGGCTCCCCGCCCAGGATCGGGTCATAGTCAGGGTTTCACAACCTCCATACGCGGGCACTGACCCGTTAAAATCGATTTGTAATTCCTCTCAGGGACACGGGAAAATGCCAATGCCACCGCCCCTTAGTTCCCACCTGGGAACAGCAGCTCTTCCCGATACCCTGGGCTATCACTCTCGGTGCCACTTGAAGGTCACCAGCAAACTCCTCACCGGCTCTGGAGTAAAGAACTGTGAGATGGCCTTTGTGTCCTCATAGCTTAGCTCCCGCGCATGTGTGAGAACATAAGGAGTTTGGTTTTGCATTCCTGACTTATTCACAGAGAATATAGTCTCCAATGCCATCCAGGCGGCTGCGAACGCCATTAATTTCTTCCTTTTATGGCTGAGTAGTATTCCATCGTGTGTGTATACACATCACAGTTCCTTTATCCACCAGTTGATTGATGGGTATTTGGGCTGGTTCCGTATTTTTGCAATTGCGAATTCTGCTGCTGTAAACACGCACGTACAAGGATCTTTTTCATATAATGACTTCTTAAAAAAACGAAACCAAGAAATATGAGACTGTCCAGCATTCCCTTTAAAATCTGAGGAAGTTGGGAGTTCCTCCTCTCCTCTGCCAAGCCTTCCTCCTGCCTGCAGAACTCAGGTTGCCTCTCCATTCTCCTTTCTCGGCATTAGATTGACTTGATGACAGAGAAATGGGTTGTTCTTGCCTCTGTGGAGGTTCTTCTGCGATTTCCTCTGAAGCCAGGAGAGGATCCGACCATCCGCTGTGTCTCCAATGAAAAATGCCAGGCTTTAGTGGGCCGGCCCCCTACAATTTCACAAAGATGTGGATACCAAGAGGAGAGGTAAGACAAGTATTAGAGAGTAAGGATGGGACGGCCTGGGGGACTCCCCAAGCACAGTGTGGGCTCAAGGTTTCTGCTGAACATACCTGGGGGCTTCCATCTTGCATGTCCCCCCATGACATGGGCTGTGATGTGTGCGATGCCTGGCGTGAATATGCACATACGTGTCAGCGTCGCAGGATCCTCAGAGGGCTGGTCCTGGCTTGGCTTTGTGCCTGCCTCTGTGTGAAGAGTGGCGTGTGGTCACAGGGGTCTCATGTGAACGTCACGAGTGTCCATAGGTTGAATATGAAAGCTTTGCAAAGCTTTGAGCTTCTGGTTGGTTTTCTGAGTGAGACACTATTCTAT